ATCTTAAGTCTAATATATTTTCAATTGAATTCCCATTCTTCTAGTTCAACGAGAAGCATCCAATACGAAGTAATAAATATAAGTAAAGTACCCCAGCGCTACTGAAAATGTAAACTTTATCTCTCTCCAATGGTAGCATAGAAAACTTCTCTTGAAATACATCCAAAAATTCCCTTTCTAGTATCTCTTCAAGAGAGTCTCTCATTCAGTTTATCAATAATGCTTGCAATGTTTTCTAGAAAATCTTTCCTCAATAATTTTGAAGATTGCACTTGTAGAGTTAAGACTAGGGATTAAATAATTCATGTCTCCTTGAAACTAAATCCACATGACTCTCTTTTCAAAAAAAATCAATTGTCGCATGCTGTGTGACTAACGAACTCAGAATTAATATCAAATCAAAACCCTAAGGTCTAAAAATACTCAATAAACTAGTAACTGTTGTTCTCCAATATAGACCTTACACATTGGGTACACGATATCACCTAACTCAAAACCACTCGTAGGAGTTACCATGGTCAAATCAAACTCAAGTATTTTGGGTTCCACACCCAATCACACTGCTACTCTAGGAGACACGTAAGAATGTAAAGACCCTAAAATTTCATTAGTGTCAATCACATTTCTTACAACACTCTTACCAACCCTTTTTGCAACTATCTCTTGTTTGTACAAAATACCAAGGAAATTAGCTTGTCTGAGTCACTACACAAATCATTCTATTAACTATTAACATCACTATGTATCCTTCAAACTAAAATCGATTAAAGCCTACACAACCATTCATATCCAACCTACTCCTTTGATTATTCATAAACCTATGCCCTGATACCAAACTTGTCACACCCCCACCCCGGATCACATAGGGTGGATGGACCGGCTACCAATGCCTCAACCAATCAACCCTGTGCATAATAAATGCAAAATACAGCGGACGAAAAATAATAAAATGATTTAATCCATCAACCTAACGAATACCAAAGGAATAAACTAAACACCACCAATATCATTACTAAACTCATGCAAAACAATAATTAAATCATAAGGTTCACTATTCTAAACATAACCAATATTGTTCCCAAAATAATTAAACATTTGTCTCAAAACTATAAAAGATTTTTATTCCTGAAGACCTACAATAAAATAAATCTTCAATTCCTCTAATCCCTTGTCTATTTGTGGACTTATTCCTCACCCTGATCCTCACCTAAAAAATGTTACATGTTTGAATGAGTACAATGGCTTGTGAATAACAACGATCTCTAATAAGGTGTGAAAATAAATCTCACAATTTATTACAAAAATAAACTTTGATACATACATAAGTACAACTAATTATACCTCAATCCCTCCCACATAATCATCTAAACAAAATGATCTCATGATCACAAATGACTTTATAAATGACAAGATATTTATAACTCAAAACACTCACACACACATTCAGTCTTAAATACATTTGTCAAATCATATTTGTTACCCCTAACCTGGTAACTGCCCAGTATCTTGTTACCACTAGGCCAGTAACTGGCCTCATCTCCTATTATCACTGGCCTGATGACTAGCCCCTATGTGCACTTCCCTATACCAATCACACCGGCATATAATCTCATTACCATTTAGACTTGGTAACTCAATTTCCATCTCATAAACATGATTTTCACACACACACACACATACCAAAACTGTAGTTTTAGTCCAAACACACAAAATTTTCCTTTTATCACCAAAGTAATGATATAAATTCATCCTACAAGTTTTCCAAAATTCACATGTATAACAGTTCACAATTGTAAAAAATTTAATTACAATCCGAAACATCAACACATATATAATATATATATATAAAGTCCACACGCACGCACCCATTCATTTAATATAGAAAATCCTCCCAAAAGAAGTAGTAAACTACTCACTTTGATTCCCAAAATCTAATTCAAAAGTCTCTTTCTCAACCTCAATACAATCACTACCTAATATCAAATAACATATAACGATCAATCCCTATTTCTAACATTGTGATTTCGTGATTCTATATCTAATTTACGTACTTCTTACACATTGATATATACTTAATATATCCTTTACATACAAATATCCTTTCTAATATGAGGTAATAGGGTGTAGAAGTATTCTGGGATGTTTAGAAAAAGTTTCTAAAGTTTTGGGTTCACATCATAATTTTGTTTTGAAACTTTTTGTAACACCCCCCCCCACTACCCAGCAAGATATTGTCCTCTTTGGCACAGGGTCACGGAACACCGTTCTCCTCCCCTGCCCTCAAGGGTTTGTTCCTCCCAGGGGTTCCCTAGGAAAATGCCTCTTGCAAGGTAAGGGCTGAAGGCTTACTTATAAGCCCAGCAACTCTCCCTTCCGTAACCGATGTGGGATACCAGGATCTCACAATCCACCCCCCTCAGGGCTGCACGTCCCCGTGTAGCTAGGTCACGGACTACCGTTCTCCTCCCTCCTACACGCTGACCCGTGTAGGGCCCCACACTCGGCACCGCCAAGGGGTCGGCTCTGATACCATTTGTAACACCCCCCCCACTACCCAGCAAGATATTGTCCTCTTTGGCACAGGGTCACGGAACACCGTTCTCCTCCCCTGCCCTCAAGGGTTTGTTCCTCCCAGGGGTTCCCTGGGAAAAGGCCTCTTGCAAGGTAAGGGCTGAAGGCTTACTTATAAGCCCAGCAACTCCCCCCTCCGTAACCGATGTGGGATACCAGGATCTCACAATGGGGGGGGGGTGTTACAAATGGTATCAGAGCCGACCCCTTGGCGGTGCCGAGTGTGGGGCCCTGCACGGGTCAGCGTGTAGGAGGGAGGAGAACGGTAGTCCGTGACCTAGCTGCACGGGGACGTGCAGCCCTGAGGGGGGTGGATTGTGAGATCCTGGTATCCCACATCGGTTACGGAGGGGGGAGTTGCTGGGCTTATAAGTAAGCCTTCAGCCCTTACCTTGAAAGAGGCATTTTCCCAGGGAACCCCTGGGAGGAACAAACCCTTGAGGGCAGGGGAGGAGAACGGTGTTCCGTGACCCCGTGCCAAAGAGGACAATATCTTGCTGGGTAGTGGGGGGGGGTGTTACACTTTTTACGGCCAAAGTGTAATTTCTTTGAAAAACGAATTTTCTATTTTCAGGACTGCCATAAAATTTTCAAAATTCTATTCTTCCAACTTACCAAAAAAAAAAGTGGTTAAAATTAAATTTAGAAGAATATAAGGGTCAAAATAAAACTCTTTAAAACTAAAGGAGATGTTTCTAGAATTTTAAGAAACCCATCTTCTCCACCCATCGAAAGTTACAGAACTTGTAACTTTCTTCCTTCTTCCCCTTTGCTTTCTTTGTTGCTTCCCCCCCCCCCCCCCCTTTTTTTTTACACATTAAATAAATTCTTTAAAACCTTCAAGACCAACCAATCTAAATTAGGTCTAAAAACACCTAAATTGGTAACTTTCAATAAAACCCATTTTCATATTCCTCAATATTCTTCATCAATATATATATATTATCACTATTTATAATAAACCTAATACCATGTAATTGAATAGAATACAAAACCCATCAAATAATTAATGAATTCATACCTTAAATAGATTAAATTCTTTTTGTTTTCTTTTTCGTTCTTCTTTTCTTCCTTGCTTTTCTCTCTCTCTCTCTCTCTCACATGTATATATATTCTTTGTTTGATGCCACTTGCTTTGATGTTCTAGGAATTTCTTATGCAACAATACTACCCTATTTAAAACACACATGTAGAAGAGTCCTAATAGGTCTCTCTAGGGCAAGACTTTTATTAGAGACACATTAGTCTTCTTTAAATTATTTTTATTATTATTATATATAATTCCTCCTAGATAGCCAATGCACCAAAGTAAAGTTATATATATATATATATATATATATATATATATATATATATATATATATATATATATATATATATACACATCGGTCTAGATGGACTAACCTTTTTATTTTTAAATAAGAATTTTCATATGGAGTGGTGGAAGTTAAAATCTCAAACAACAGGAACATTTTTAAAGTTAATAGATAGACAACGATTAAAACCGTTCTTAGAAGGTGGGGTGATGGAAGTGGAATCCATTGAATTGGTGGATCCAAAATATGGTTAAACCAAAATCAATCAACTCGTTTGTTGTACATTAGTGCTTGTTTGTTTAACTGTTTTTTTTTTGTGTTTGTTTAGATTTCTTTTTAGGAAAAAATTATGATGTAGTATGAGGTATGCTTTCCTCCCTAACTTGTTTTTCTTTTCTATTATCATTATTGTGATATATCTTACATTGGGGACAATGTCCTGTTTAGGTTAGGGGTGGGACACATTTGACGCATGCATTGATAGTTTGTTAGGAAATTTTTTAATATAGTTTTAGAGTCACTTTAGACTTTTATCCAATGATTGTAACACAATTTTTGATTTTGTGGACATAATATATGAGTTTTGGGATGTAGTAATTATTTTTCAAGAGTTTTTGGAGTCAATACAAAATTTGGAAAATTTGTTCCTCGCATCCAGAATCCATTCTTACACGTTTGGAGGCACTTTTTGGTGAATCAATCGCATCTACATGCCATACTTTGCATTTGGACGCATGTTTCAAAAGTATTGGCATGTTCGGATGGTAAAACCTTGCATCTAGATGTGATCTAGAACGAGTCCCCATAAACATTAATGTGTCTAGACCCATAGAACGTGCATCTAAACGCATGTTCCAAAACTCAAAATTTGTATCTTGCATCAGGACGCTTGTTCCTTGCATCTAGACTTGACTATCATAATTCAAAGGCCTATTCGTCGTCCAGATCTCAAAAACTTCCGCCATTTTGTCAAAAAAACAATCTCTTTGATGAATTCTCTCCTTCCCTAACTCGACTTTGTCCTCTGAATTCACTCTTGTCTCACTTAGGTCCTTTTAGGTCGTGTTGCTCTAGTTATTCTCTACATTTCTACTAATTATTTTTCACTAATAGACATCAAATCATCCCATGGCTACACGAAGAGCTACTTTCTCCAAATGGCCTAGGACATCAATATCTACACCAGCAACAATGCCACCTCTGGGACAACAGTAAAAGGATGAAGTTCCTCAAGTGTTCAACCAACTTAAATTCCCAAACGCTCAGGTATAACCAATACTATGTTTCCAAACCTTTGGCTATTGAGCAGGAAATAGATTTAGATAGTTTTGATAATTTAGAAGTGAGTTCCATCATCTATGTGAGGAAGTGGGATAGGTTTATGTTGCATTTTGTGCATTGGGTGAAGATGCTTGTCCATGAATTCTATTGTAAAGTTCTGGATAAGGGTGATGGGAGCTTTGAGACGTTTTGTGACAGAAAAATCTTCTTGAGTGGACTCAGCATTAATGTCGAAGTCGGTGGTTAGGCAAACACCCCATTGTTCATAGTGTTGCAATGACTCTAGTGGATCATTCTCATGAGCAAGGTGAGGGGCACACAAAAGGAGGTAGAACTTCGGTGTCATCTTGGTAAAAGCTGGATTTCGGGCAAGGGGAAGGCAAAAATGAGTTCATGAATTGCTCGAGTAGGGAGATTGAACCTAGAAAGGTGTCTCGCTCTTATTATCTTGTATTATCAAATTTACAGGAAGTAGCTAAGGAGCTTACGAGTGACCCTAAGTTTGTGTGAGATGGAGATGACCGGTATTTAACTCAATGGCAATTGACTAATAAGTACAAGATACTGAATTTAATTTCAGTATCTAATTTTATATCTTTGTGTAGACATAATCATGTTTATCTTGGAAGAGCCAAACTTTTGTATACCACTGGGACCGGTCGGTCTGTTGATCTCCCTAGCATTATTTGTTTGAGAAAAGGAAAGGTGTTGTGGATGATAAGAAGTCACCATTGTCTTTTTCCTATTTAGTTACAACTATCTGTGCTGATGAGCAGGAGTGTTACAATTGGAGCTAGAGGCCATGGTTAAGCATAGGGAGGGTACACAAGAGATGCCTTTTGAGGAATAGGTGGATCAATATCTTAATTTTGGAGAGGATGTTGATGAGCCTATCCATGAGGATATTGATACCCCATATGGAGAGGCAATTGTTGTTTAACCTGTTGAGAGGACTATGAGGAAGAGGTAGAGGGATGTGACAAAAAATAAAGAAAGAGATGAGAGAGCAGTAGAGGTTGATGAGGGCCCAGCTGAGCACACATGAGGCATTCTTCTAGAGTTTAGGACAAAGCTCACGTGATCTTCCTCGTCCTTCTTCTTAGACTGTCTTTATCCCTATCTCCTGATCCCAGCTATCTCTTGATCCTAGTTGTTTCTATGGTCCCATTTTATGTCATTTCCTTTTGAGACCTTTTTTTAGTGCTATAGTTCATTGAATATATAGTTTGTTGATCAAAGCCTGTAGTCGGATAGTTGATAGATAGTTTGGTCAAGGCTTGATCAGACCACAATCGAGTCAGAGCTTAGTTCTTAATTCTCAGTTTAATGAATATCTTTCTTTTAGTAGTACTAGTTGATGCACACGTGCATTGCATGTGGCCTAGGTTGAAGTATAATTTTTTATTTGAGTGTTATAGCTTTATACTCTTCAAGTATGAGTCATGTTTTAACTTGGTTCTTGAAATTTCAATTCAAACAATCGAGTCCTTAATGTTTTAATTGATTTTAATACTATAGCAATGTTTTCCAATTTTTTTTTTTTGGTATGTCAAATTTAAAATGAAGATTTTGTTGTTAAATTGAATTGCTTATAATTTACGTAACTGGGTGGCTGTTATGGATTGAGGGTAGGATGGATTTATACTTGGCACATATGCCCTTTGTAATTCATTAAACATTTGGATTTTATGACTTTTTGTGTCCCTTCTTTTGCACCAAGTTTTTTTAACTTCCATAACTTTGATTTGTATGGCATACTATTTATCATGTTTGTATTGCCATAAATGATGGCTGCAATTATACTTCCATCATGTAGACACTACAACAAAAATAATTTTTGCGACTTTTTAGCGACATTTTTTAATTCGTAGCAAAAAATATACTATCCGCGATGATTCAAGAAGAAGACTTGAATAAAAGCGTCTATCAACTTTCCCATAGAGTAAGATACACCATTGATATATGAAATTGTCATTGTTTAAATCAAATAAGATAAGAGGTTTGGGTATGATTTGACCTAGAAATCTAAGTAGGGATAATATTAGTAGTATAGATATAGATATGCATTTAGTTTATTTTATTGTGATTGGTAATTAAATCTTTGAAATACATTTCATTCATTGATTGGCATCACAATTAGCTAAGATTTGCAGTTGTTTAAGTATCACATAAAACTTCACTCTATACTCTTGTATCTTATGTCACGCTTCCATAAAAACTCACCATTTGTGCACTTTTAATTTTACCAAGTTCATAATTTGTTCGGTAATTCTTGCTTTGAGAACTTGAGACAAATTGTTGAGATGAATAATAACCCTGATGAGTTCTAATCTAATCTTTCTTGGAGGGTTTTTTACATTTACTTGGTAAAAAATTGTTTTATTCAGCTAATTTCTTTAAATAATTTCATTATTTATTTGGATTAATGTCAGTAAAGTGATGATTCATTATTGTTTGATACACATATACTATTGGTTCTTGGGATATGATTTTTGGCAATCTTTGTATTGATTTGTGTCTAACCTTGTTTCTTTGTTATTATTGACTCTAGAAGCTATGATTGAGATATTTAATATTCTTTTCTTAGCCCTACGATGAACCAAGATTGTCACGTCCTCAAATGTCCTTACCTTAGTTATCCTGATATTTGGAATGTGTGAAAATATATGATGACTATGGTTGGTCTTGAAAGTATATATTTACTTTGCAAAAGAGGAGAAATGAAAACGAATGAGAAAGTCTACAGTCTTTATGCTTGATGTTGTTGCAAAAAAAAAAAAAAATGTTTGAAGAGGTATTTATTTTTTTTAAATGAAAAAATTATCATGAAGTAAAAAACCTTGAAGCAAGCAAAGTTGAGAAAGGATTATGAGTTATGTACTTTGATGTTGATATTTATGAGCAAGGTTAGTAGAAAGAGAATGTCGAATGTTGGAAAGAGGACATAAAATATCTCAGGATAACTATTTGTATTCCTTATATCTTTTTGTTTCTTGAGCCAATAACCCCAAGTCATATTACAAGCAAATGAAAGTCATATTTGATCCTATGGACAAAGTGGTGTAAGTATACAAAAACATGAAAAATGTGAAGTGCCAGTAAATACACTTTACTTAGACATTGATTTCTTTTCATGAGATTATGTCAAATTCAATTTTTTTTTTTGTGGTTGTTTGAATGATAGAGCAAGTGAGTATTACTTTTCTTTGAATTTTATAAAATCTTCTCAGATGCATGAATTTGTGCGAATAGTCACCATAAGATGAGAGTATTATGCTTGATCCTGAATAGATACACCCAAGCGTATGTGGTTAAGAAGTAATAATATTTCGGTAAGTCTGAGGTCGAACTATAGGGATTGAAGAAATACAAAAGTAGGTAAAGGAAAAACATGTAAAATTGATTTTAAGGGTTGAGATTGATTTGTAGAATAAAAGAAGGAAAATTAAACAAAATTTACCAATTGGAAAAGTGACTTTTTTGGTTTTAGTATCTGGATCTATTCACGCTCGATCACCAAATATCTATGTTTATGCAATTACAATTTATCTCAGTTGATTTTCAACGTCAGTGTAGTCAACCAAAAAATTTAAATTTGAAAACACAAGATTTCATTAATCTGAAAATAAGAATTGAAGAACTAGTTCTATAAAACTCGCAGGCAATTATAAGTATTATTTATACCAAGAACTCAATCAAGTTAATGAATAATCAAATAATTGTACAGAGTATAAAACTTTGCTAAAAATCATTCAATTAATCTTTCATTTCAGGAAAAATATAACATTAAAGAACAAAGAAAAATAATTATATAAAATATAAATATTTGGATTACAATCATAAATACATACCCTAACTAAAGAGTGTATGGATATTCCTCATAGGACATGATAGATCTCTAAAAAATAAAGACAGATGTACAAGATGAGATCTAGAGTTCCCCTCTCAAAAGAAAGAGTTTATATTTATATTAGGAAGGCTATGGCTGGCCTTGAAACAAAATTCTCTCCAAAAAAGGAGTACATATAGGTCAAAACTCATGCATTAAATCTTGGGGGCGCATCCCCACATGGGTACCATATCTACCCAAACTTCGAGCTCATTTTTCACATAGTTAGAGGCCGATTCACAACATTTTTATAATACACTTTTACAACTCTTGAAGTCTTCTTTTCAATACCATAAAAACAAGATCAATCGGATATTGGCGTAAAACGTTATGGCCAAAATATTGAAGACATGTCAAAACCTTATCTTCTAGAATACTTTCCTAATCTAACTTTATATGAGTTTTCTTTTAATTTGGCCTCCCAAGAGGATTAAATTACTATCTTATCTTCAAATCTTCATCTCTTAATCTTTACCATTGAATCTTTATCAAATTTTCCTTCTCTACCATGACTCTTCATTTAGTGTTTGCTTCACTTGTCTTATTCATTATTACTTTAAATCAATCAAATTACCTACAAAGTAAATCAAACAACTAGAACAAGTATCAAGCCAAAATAAAGGAATCTAATACATTTTATCTCAAATAATATGTATTGAACCAAATATTAAATATAATAAAATAACACTTTTGATGGTTAATTATATTAATTGGTAAGTTTTGACATTGAGATTAGTAGTTGATATTTATAGAGACAGTTACTTGATGAATTTCTAGCTTGGTATAGTTAACTCACACTACACATGAGTTTTTATGGGAGTATGATATTTGACTACTTTAGTATAGCATTTAAATATGTTTTGCTTTGCCTGTGCTTATAAAAATCTTGCAGCTGAGAGTTTTTAGGTTGTGATGATAATTTATGATGTGATTCTATAATTCAAATATTTAACAATAGATTGATGTTTCTGAGTACCATCTTTGAGAACCCTCATAAGACTACAACTCGTCCACTAAGGGCTTTTTTGGTTGCTGTATTATAAAAGAATAGATTGTATTAGGTAATATAGGCTAATTTTGTATAGGTGGATAAAATGCATGATTAAATATGGGACAAAAATATTATGCATTGTAATCTAGCGTTTGGTAAGATATTGGATTAAAAAAATGGGATATTAGAGTAACAATTACATCTTCACTAAATATTCATCAATCTTGTATAGTTATTAACATTTTTTGTTTATCTATTAGGTAAAATAGTAAATTTATAACTTAATACGTTTGAATTGGACTATAATACCACCTCCCTAGGTGGTATTATAATCGGCTTAATAGTGTGGATACAGTGTATAATTTGG